ATGAGAGAAGGGTCTTTATCAGGCTTCGGAATCAGGGACCTACTTGTTATAGGCCTACTCTCAATTCACCCTTGCAGTCAGCTCCTCTCACTCCTATTTGTCCCTAGAGCAGCAGGTCCCAAACGTTTCTGTTCCGGGACCACCAAATCACTGTCAAGCTATTAAGGACCACCATTGGCAGAGTCAGTTTGTTGGTTTTTTACATAAAATATCTTGGCAGTCAAATGTAGTCCATTTTAGCATTGAATGTAACAAATTAAAGCCTATTATTATAAACAAATTGCATTATGAAAAGTAATGTAAAATTGCTTATAATACTCACTACAAACTGTTATTCTTTCTGTAAGAAAAATAAATAAAATCAACAACAAATCGCAGACCACCTGCAGTACCCCAGGTTAAAAAACACTGCCTAGAATGTAGTCTTCATTTGATCTCTTGCATGTAACACTATTTTGATTAACCTCAACTACACTGAATATACCAAACATTAGGAACACCTTCCTAATATTTAGTTGCACTGCCACCCACTTTTGCCCTCAGAACAACCTCAATTAGTCGGGGCATGGACTCTACAAGGTGTCAAGTGTTCCACAGGGATGCTGGCCCATGTTGACTCGAAAGCTTCCCACAGTTGTGTCAAGTTGGCTGGATGTCCTTTGGGTGGTGGACCATTCTTGATACACACTGGAAACTGTTGAGCGTGAAAAACCCAGCAGCATTGCAGTTCTTGACACAAACCGGTGCGCCTGTCACCTACTACCATAACCCGTTCAAAGGCACTTACATCTTTTGTCTTGCCCATTCACCCTCTGAATGGCACACATACAAATAAAATGGTATTTGTCACATACACGTGTTTAGCAGATGTTATTGCGGGTGTAGCGAAATGCTTGTGCTTCTAGCTCCGACAGTGCAGTAATATCTAACAAGTAATATCTAACAATTTCACAACATATACCCAATACACACAAATCTAAGTAATGGAATTTAAGAATATATACATATATGGACAAGCAATGACAGAGCCGCATGGACTAAGATACAGTAGAATATTATAGAATACAGTATATACACATGAGATGAGTAATGCAAGATATGTAAACATTATTAAAGTGACTAGTGTTCCATTTCTTAAAGTGGCCAGTGATTTCAATAGGCAGCAGCAGCCTCTAGTGTGTTAGTGATGGCTATTTAACAGTCTGATTAAGATAGAAGTTGTATTTCATTCTCTCGGTCCCAGCTTTGATGAACCTGTACTGACCTCGCCTTCTGGATGATAGTGGGGTGAACAGGCAGTGGCTCGGGTGGTTGATGTCCTTGATTATCTTTTTGGCCTTCCTGTGACATCGGGTGCTGTAGGTGTCCTGGAGGGCGGATAGTTTGCCCCCGGTAATGCGTTCGGCAGACCGCACCACCCTCTGGAGAGCCCTGCGGTTGCGGGCGGTGCAGTTGCTGTACCAGGCGGTGGTGCAGTTGCTGTACCAGGCGGTGATACAGCCCGACAGGATGCTCTCAATTGTGCATCTGTAAAAGTTTGTGAAGGTTTTAGGTGCCAAGCCAAATTTCTTCAGCCTCCTGAGGTTGAAGAGACTCTGTTGCGCCTTCTTCACCACACTGTCTGTGTGGGTGGACCATTTAAGTTTGTTAGTGATGTGTACGCCAAGGAACTTGAAACTTTCCACCTTCTCCACTGCGGTCCCGTCGATGTGGATAAGGGGGTGCACCCTCTGCTGTTTTCTGAAGTCCACGCTCATCTCCTCTGTTTTGTTGAGGTTGAGTGAGATGTTATTTTCCTGGCACCACACTCCCAGAGCCCTCACCTCCTCCCTGTAGGCTGTCTCGTCATTGTTGGTAATCAAGCCTACTACTGTTGTGTTGTCTGAAAACTTGATGATTGAGTTGGAGGCGTGCTTGGCCACGCAGTCATTGGTGAACAGGGAGTACAGGAGGGGATCTCATACCATGTCTCAATTGTCTCAAGGCTTAAAAATCCTTCTTTAACCTGTCTCCTCCCCTTTATCTACAGTGACCACATTTACATGCGGACACTATTCCGGATAGTAGCTCATATCCCACTTAAGGTTTTATTTGGGATAAGCTGTTTACATGAGTATCCCTGTACCATGAATAAACAGAATATTCCTCATTTACGTTCATATGGGTTAAATGGAATAGAAACTGAAATATGGACATCAACTGTAGGCCTATAACTCCTGCAGAATGATGCATTTCTTGCAGTGAAATTATACAATAAATGCTAATTATGTATTGGGAACAGGATTGGAGAAATATGATTTATTTCTTTCAGCATCTCTTGAGAAAAAGTGAATGTGCGTGTAATGTGTTGTCTTTGACACTGTTATGCAAGCAGACAGTATTTCAACCACATAAAATATGCACCCAAGATCAACTGAAGTCTTATCAGAAACAAGTTGTCGTTTACTCAGCTTTGCATTTCCTTAAAGGTGAAACTGATGACATTTGGGAATTTTGCACAGGACCAATCTTTCCACTGTTTTGGAGCTATTGCGTTTTCTCACCGGTCCCTAAACGAAACAGCCGAATTTACCGGTGTTAACTTGATTACTAATGCATTCAGCCCTACTTTATTTAGTCTTCTGGGGCAACAAGTTATGACAGAAGAGAAGCTGCATGTATCTAACTATAGTTGACAAACAAATGGCCTGCCAAATGTCAAAAATTCTAATTTGGCCTACACAATGTAGGAAATTATAAGCAGAAACTATTACATTAATTATAGTAGGCTAAATTATTTTGGTTGATCGAACTGCGCAGGTAGCCTACTTTTTGACAATCGGATGAAAACATCACACAACACCCATGATATGCGAAACTGAGCCTGCACAGACCACTAAAACAACAGTAAACGGGATAAGATGTTTACATGCCACAGTATCCGTCTTAGATCAGCATATCCCAGGCATCTTATCCGGGTTTCTCATAACCAGGATACAAGCTGTTTCGGGTTATTGTAAACGGGATATGATGTTTATATGCGTCAAATCAAAAACAGAATATTGGAGTATCCCGAATAATAACGTGATATTGGTGTGCACATCGTCGCTGATTTCAGTAGATTTAAGAAGTTACATTAATAAGGGATCATAGCTTTCACCTGAATTCACGGTATGCTACTCGGTGTATATTTTGGTTGATAAATGCTTGAAGTATATCATTTTGTAACATTTTTGGACAAAAATTCAGAGATAGACGCTGTTGTCATATGAAACAGGATGTTCTGTAGTCTGTGAGTTTAGTGCTTGGTGGTCCAAGCATTAGGGGTGTATGTGAATGTTGGACTGTATAGTCGTGGTCAAAAGTTTTGAGAATGACACAAATACTAATTTTCACAAAGTCTGCTGCCTCAGTTTTGATGATGGTAATATGCATATACTCCAGAATGTCATGAAGAGTGATCAGATGAATTGCAAAATCCCTCTTTGCCATGAAAATGAATTTAATCCCAAAAAAACATTTCCACTGCATTTCAGCCCTGCCACAAAAGGACCAGCTGCCTTCATGTCAGTGATTCTCCCATTAACACAGGTGAGAGTGTTGACGAGGACAAGGCTGGAGATCACTCTGTCATGCTGATTGAGTTAGAATAACAGACTGGAAGCTTTAAAAGGAGGGTGGTGCTTGAAATCATTGTTCTTCCTCTGTTAACCATGGTTACCTGCAAGGAAACACGTGCCGTCATCATTGCTTTGCACAAAAAGGGCTTCACATACAAGGATATTGCTGCTAGTAAGATTGCACCTAAATCAACCATTTATCGGTTCATCAAGAACTTCAAGGAGAGAGGTTCAATTGTTGTGAAGAAGGGGTCAGGGTGCCCAAGAAAGTCCAGCAAGTGCCAGGACCGTCTCCTAACGTTGATTCAGCTGCGGGATCGGGGCACCACCAGTGCAGAGCTTGCTCAGGAATGGTAGCAGGCAGGTGTGAGTGCATCTGCACACACAGTGAGGCAAAGACTTTTGGAGGATGGCAGCAAAGAAGCCACTTCTCTCCAGGAAAAACATCAGGGACAGACTGATATTCTTTAAAAAAAGATACAGGGATTGGACTGCTGAGGACTGGGGTAAAGTCATTTTCTCTGATGAATCCCCTTTCCGATTGTTTGGGGCATCCGGAAAACACCTTGTCCGGAGAAGACAAGGTGAGCGCTACCATCAGTCCTGTGTCATGCCAACAGTAAAGCATCCTGAGACCATTCATGTGTGGGGTTGCTTCTCAGCCAAGGGAGTGGGCTCACTCACAACTTTGCCTAAGAACACAGCCATAAATAAAGAATGGTACCAACACATTCTCCGAGAGCAACTTCTCCCAACCATCCAAGAACAATTTGGTGACGACCAATGCCTTTTCCAGCATGATGGAGCACCTTGCCATAAGGCAAAAGTGATAACTAAGTGGCTCGGGGAACAAAACATCGACATTTTGGGTCCATAGCCAGGAAACTCCCCAGACCTTAATCCCATTGAGAACTTGTGGTCGATCCTCAAGCGGGTGGACAAACAAAACCCCACAAATTTGGACAAACTCCAAGCATTGATTATGCAAGAATGGGCTGCCATCAGTCAGGATGTGGCCCAGAAGTTAACTGACAGCATGCCAGGGCGGATTGCAGAGGTCTTGAAAAAGAAGGGTCAACACTGCAAATATTGTCTCTTTGCATAAACTTAATGTAATTGTCAATAAAAGCCTTTGACACTTATGGAATGCTTGTAATTATACTTCAATATACCATAGTAACATCTGACAATAATATCTCATAACACTGAATCAGCTAACTTTGTGAAGACCAATACTTGTGTCATTCTCAAAACTTTTGACCACGACTGTACAAAGCCCTACATGTAGGCTACATGTGGTTGGACTGAGGGAGGCAGGGGAATTGTATGCTTTTTATTTGAAGCCTGTTGTCATTCTGAGAGTCTGTATGAGCTGTTGTGACTAATGCCTCCAGATTTAGAATGCTGCTGAGAAGCTGCTTTAATGTGAACTATGTTCTCCTGTGCATCTCTCCTCCCTGGATCAAGCTCTCCTGCCACTTTACCTTCAGGACAGAGGTTGGAGGTCAAATGGATGCCGGATCAATACTTCTCAGCGTTTCTCTATTAAATCAAACTTGTACTAAATAACAATGCGCTACTTTCTCTAGATGGTGAATTGTTTTATTTCAACTAAAGGTCTGGATGACATTGTCACATGGTTTCAGTTAATTAATACCCTAATGAGGAGGGACATGTCGTTTTTTCCGTCTGTCTGTTCCATTGCTAATGTTGCTGTGTCTGTCTGTAGGGCCCATACCTGTAGGTGATGCAGCGATGAGCCAGCGCAGGGTGTCTGTGAAGGAGCTAGGTCAGGTGGGCTGCCAGGGCTGGCTCTACAGGAAGAAGGAGAGCAAGGGCTTCCTGGGAACCAAATGGAAGAAGTACTGGTTTGTTCTGAAGAAGACCTCCCTTTACTGGTATACCTGTCAGATAGTGAGTTGTGTTGGGGCTGAGTCAGTAAACATTTTATTAGCTAAATCTCAGAATGCTTTAGTTAAGGGGATACAGAAATGTATGCTCGTATTGACCGTCATGGCAGACACCAGCAAAATAATTGGATGAGAATGGCTTGTGTAGTATTCAAGGCTTAAAACAGTAATGTGTGCTACTCTCCCAGGCAATGTTTATCCAACCAAGCATTCACTTGTCTTGTCACAACATATAATCCTTATGCATGTTATTTTTGTTTCTCTCTGTCACTTCTTGGTCTGTAAACTGAGAAAGCAGAAGGATACATCAACATCTCAGACTTCACTGTCAACCAAGCAACAGAGTCAGCTGAAAGCTTCCCCCTTGAACAGCACACTTCCCCGGTTGCAGGGAATTGCTGGGCTTTTGCACACGTCAAAATTAAATGTAGTCTTTTGTACAGTAAGTTTCCCTTGCTGTCCAATATCTGTCCAGTATCTTTCAAACGGTGGTGTGTATTATCACACTTGGCCTGTATTATCTTGTTTCCTCTGTGTAAGTTGTCGTTGCTTTGATCTAAAGATATGCATGCATAACGCATTCAATAACTGCTGGTCTGCTGTTGACCCCATTTTGTGGTTTCACTATCGTTTCACTAAGGTTTTAGTTAAAACACTTGGCATACCACTCAAAACACATGACATAGTATTTGTTGATCTGACAGCCATTTTTGAGTCGTACCTGGCCTGTTCCAGTGCTATGAAGGCCAGCCATCCACAGGTTGTGACGCTTTACTTTGCCACTGAGAGTCTGAAGGAGATAAACAAGTGAGTGTAAAAGAGATGGAGAGAGAAGAAAGGAGGGAAGTGGATGCAGGCCGGGAGGTTGTAGCCTACTTGTGCTATGCTGAGGTCAAAGGCATACTTACTGGGACAGGATGTGGGCAGATACTGTGAAAATAGAGCTGGATTTGTGTGAACACTATGGTTCTTCTGTTCACATGGTGTGAAGGTTGCATGTTATTGTATGTTCTCTTAGTTAAACTTGGTCTCATGGGGCCATATTAAAATGTCCATTAGTTAGCCATCATGATCTGGAAGCTATTTGAGGAAGCATGTGCAAAGAGACCGTTTGTACTACTAAGTACATAAAACATTGGACGTATCGGTTAGGTATTAGGGTTTTTAAGGCATGGCTTCTCCATGTTACAGATGGCTGTCTAAACTGTCCACGGCAGCTCCTGCTACACTGAATGAGTTGTCAGAGAAGAACACCGGAGGTATTAGTCTCTCAAGGGATTACATGGATCTTTCATTACATTTTCGAAGGATTTTCCCCAGTGTTATTGATGAGGATAGACAGAAATGAGCTGGGATACGGAGGGAACATAGTGTGACGACTGGTGAGGCTGGGGATCGCATATGTGCTGAGGGCGATGGCCTTAACCGCTCGACCAACCTCGGGCGTTACATGGATTTTTCTAACAAATTACTCTCCATAATTTGTGTGGGTGGGTGGGTGGGTGGGTGGCTAGAGTGCTTCAGTGAGGCAAGTGACCAAGAAGAGGTTGTCATTGGAGACAATCTGCCCCTTTTTACTCTGAGCAGCTGACCAAAAACTCTGTTAATGTGGGTGCTCTTTGCCCCATTCAACTACTTTGTTGACACATGCTGAGTTGTAAGCATTGATGCTAATGTTTGCTAGTTGGAGTGTGATATCTTTACACAATAAGTAGACTCAGACTCCATGTCTGCTGTTTTAGATGAAACAATGAGAGCCTCATGTTAACCCAGTGTGAATGTTGTTTTGACTCTAGTATTTCTGCTCAATTTATACCCACCCAGGGATGTGTATCCCTGCCTCGCTCCACCTCGTCCCCCTGTCACTCCACTGTCCCTGTGTCTGCCCCTACCAGCATTATGACACCAGAGAGCATTGAGTCCAACTGGCTGGATGTCCCTTCTCCAGAGAGGGCAGTGGGACAGGGTCCTCCCCTCAGACTGGAAGAGGAGGATGGTTCGGGGGCCGAGGCCCAGGGTGGAAAGGAGGGTGAGCTGTGTTAGCTTTTCTGTATCGACACCCCACATCATCCTCTGACTATCCCGGATTGACACACAAGATGGTGTAGCAGCCTAGTTAACACCCACACATCTAAACTGAGTGTTCTTATGAAATTATAATAGAGTTGATAAACTTATTTTGAATGATAACAAATGTAAATGATAGCATATTTCAATGCCAGATCTTTGATATATTATTGTTATGATTTTTAGAGGCACATCTGATGAGATGGAGGCACTGTCCATCAATCTAAAGCAGGCCAGACTATCTCCAACTGGAGAACTGAAGAGGGATGTCAGAGGGTCATTAATTTGATGCTGCAGAAATGACAAAATCAACGAGAAGCTGCATCTGGTCAGGACCCTCAACAGCACTTTAAAGGTGAGTCCACCCTTATATGATGATGTCACTATATAACAGGGTCATGTTCACTAAGGCATTCCATAGCAAAACATTTTGCAATTGAAAACGTAAAGAAGTGTTTCTCATTGAACAAGTTCAGGTAGTAGCTCCCCGTTTCACTCGTTTTCAGCGCGTTTTCTTCCTACTGGGCACAACCCTGATCAGTTGTGTAATTTGTCAATCACAAACTAAAAATATACAAAGTTGAGTCTGCTTATGTTATTAATTTTGTTCATTTGCAGGTGCATGTTATTAACATGCACCTGCAAATGAATTCCTGTTAAAAGTTGAGCTTGCCTGAATTTTCAACTCTGTAGTTGTCACCTGTGGTATCTGTTTCATAAGCAAAAGAAGCTGACCTGTTGGCTATAGAACAAGTGCTGGCAGATCCCATGCTCACTGCACAGAGTTATCTTCAGTGGAGGGTTGGCAACGTGTTGCTACTGCAGGAGATCAATCACCACAAGAAAGGACCACCAAGTGGCAGCAGAGAGCTGTCTTTCCCTCTCAGAGCTCCACGGACCCCCAGCATCGCTGAAACCAGCGTGGGACCTCCACAGAACAATGGAGGCATCAAGGTCCGTATGTATAAACGAGTAGGAGTGCCGATCTAGGATCAGTTTTGCCTTTTGGATCATAATTAATATGATTTTATGGACTGGGGACCTGATCCTAGATCAGCAGCCCTACTCTAAGACGCTTTGTGAACACAGTCCAGGTGCTTTTGTTCAGGCAGGTGCAAAGATTCAGTAGCTTATTTAAAAGACAAACATATTGTTGAAGGTGACATTTTATTGAGGATATTCCAGAAAATGTGCAGTGGGTATTCCTAGGCTTTCTTGTAGAAATGGTTATATATGTTTTAATAAAATTATATGATTTTAAGAATTTGTTTTGCAGTGCATAATAGGGCATATTTATTCAGTCTGATATTCAACTAACTCAGAAATGAGTTTGCTAGATAACAGGGTCCATAAAGTACACAATCCATTGTTATACTATTTTTCCCCACTGTTTGTTACACTGAAATGAGAGCAGTTTAGTCGAGGTACACACCTATTTATGTACACACCTAGTTTAATTACTGTAGTGTAACATCCCTGAGTCTAGAGTTGTAAAGGAAGCATTGGCCTAAGGTAATGTTATTTAGACAATATACTATCATAAAGAAATTACAGAATTACCTTTAATATTTAGGACTGTATATATATTTTATCGTAATAGTTTTGTACATTGTGTATGGGTTTTGTTGAAGTAACTTGTACTGTTTACATTTTGTATCAATCTAACAAGAATATGCAGTACAAAACAAAAGTCTGCGCTTTTGAAATGATGTATTGACTTATCTGTAGGCTAGAATGGCTCCAAATAGACCTGCTGGTATTTCTATACAGCAACATTCACACACTGAAATTAGTATTAAAGCACGCCATCTGCGGTGACCATGAAATGGTCTATGTATTGTAAAGAAACTGCATATAAATGCAAAAAAACCCACAAAGTTCTGTGAATTAAGTTGACAGAAAGTAGCCTCGAAGATGCAGATATCTTAGCCATCTGTTGCTGGCCCTTTGTGTCAAAGCACAAAGGAGACGACTTTGCTGGCTGCCCTCCCTGTCAACCTCACCGCTCTAACACCAACTTATTTGAATGAGAATGAATGAGGAATGGGGGTGTAATTTAGACTTTCTGCACTAGAAGTGTCATGCCTGGTGGAGGGCCTGTCAATCCCAGCCAGTCAATCCTCGCTGTAGTCCTCGGGGTAGGTAGGGGGAACTAACAATGCAACTTGAAGGTAAACCGAATGTAAATGTGTTTACCAGGAAAGCACCTATGTTATTCATGGGTCTTATCCTATATAACTCCCCCTCAGGGCTAACACACTAGATATTTAACTGGGGTCAGATGGAAGGCAAGGCAACAGAGAGGGAAGCCTGCTGCAGTAGCGTTATTGGATGACTACCTAATATATCACTGACATGTGTTTATTATGTTTGACGGGGCTCTTTTCAAACGGACTACTGTAAATTGGAGTGGTTGTGCTGTTCTTGGTAATGTATGCTTGCATGAGCTAGAGTTGTGAAATAAATAGTGACGTTCTGAAGACATGACACAAGATATCTAAATGTACAATAGAGAGTGAGACTTAATAAACATGGCAAATAATTTAAGTGCAAGTGTTTTCAACAAACATGTTAGAAACACAAACCACGTTTCCATCCACAATTTGTACGCGTAAAGTCATACCGTATAAAAAAAAATCATGACAGCTGCGAGGGGAACGGATCGTTTCAGTACAATTGTATAAACGCCCGACACATCATTTGTTCGTTTGACCTGGTGCGATCTTTTTGTTGGTAAAATTAATTATGCAAGAAATGGTGGTGGAAACTCCTTTATGCGCAAATATTGATATAATAACCATGATATCGAAATAAACGTGGATTCACACAATGATATGGTGTGTGTGTGGTCCTCCCACTACGACTCTGGAAACCATGGCTACAGATGGCTACAGATGAAATAAATTATGATGAACTTCACTTATTCTGGTGACATGATGATTGATGCTTGACTGCCATTTGACAAATAAACATATTCTCGCTCTTATCAATAATAATCTCATGTAGACTAGCCTACCACTACAGCCTACTGCACTGTAGGCCTATCTGCAAGCTGCTGGCTAGAGCGCACCTGCCAAGACCAGAGTAGCCACATTTGCTATTGTTGGGGCCAGAGGAGTTAACACAGCCTATTCATATCCAACTATCGCACACTTTCTTACAACTGTAAAATGCAGTGGAGGCTGGTGGGAGAAGCTATAGGAGGATGGGCTCATTGTAATGGCTGGAATGGAATCAATGGAACGGTAACAAACATATGGAAATGGTCTCAAAATGATTTAATCATGAGAGGATTTGGGTGCATGGCTGCCTGTTTCCAAAGCATTTTTCTGCATGAATAGATTTAGCAATGTCCTGTGAATCCCTGGGCTATATGCATATTTAGCAGACTCAGACCTTCTCCACTCAAGTGTACAGAGAGCAATGTCAACAGCAACTTTAATGTTGTTCCATTCATTAATCTGTATCTGAGGTGCTCGGTCACACACACACACACTGGTGGTGATGGGGTATACAGCATACACTGGCACATTAGATTAGGTTAAATTAACGACATATGGTTTAACAATCCAAATAAACATTATTCTATATCATGGTTGACAATCACAGCCGGATAAAATTCCTTTCCCTAGAGTTATCGCATTATGTCAATGTTATTGGGCTTTTTGGAATGAGTAAACAGCCTTGAACAATAAATGTAATGAAAATAAAATGATACACTGTGTGAGAGAGATGTGGGCCCTAGTAATCTACATAACCATGATAATGTGAGGAAAACATCAGCTATTTGTATTGGCATGTGTCCATCCCGAAGAATGTCCTAGGTTAACATGAGGTTGGTACAAGAAAGGCTATTTCTTAGTCGTTGTTTTTTTTTTTTTTTTTAGCAGACGCTCTTATCCAGAGCGACTTACAGGAGCAATTAGGGTTAAGTGCCTTGCTCAAGGGCACATCGACAGATTTTTCACCTAGTCAGCTCAGGGATTAGAACCAGCGACCTTTCGGTTACTGGCACAACGCTCTTAACCACTAAGCTACCTGCCACTAAGCTACCTGCCGCCCTCTGTAGGTTATGTTCATGTATGTATTTTGGAAACAGATTAATCTCTTGACCTCTATGTCCACAGTACCATCACTGTGTGAATTGAAGCTCGTAATAAAGACTATTCTCTAAATTACCTAAAATCAGGGCCCTATTCACAAAGAGTCTCAGAAGTGTGGATCTATGAACAGATGATATGGACAGGGGGGACCTGATCCTGTGGATCTATGAACAGATGATATGGACAGGGGGGACCTGATCCTGTGGATCTATGAACAGATGATATGGACAGGGGGGACCTGATCCTGTGGATCTATGAACAGATGATATGGACAGGGGGGACCTGATCCTGTGGATCTATGAACAGATGATATGGACAGGGGGGACCTGATCCTGTGGATCTATGAACAGATGATATGGACAGGGGGGACCTGATCCTGTGGATCTATGAACAGATGATATGGACAGGGGGGACCTGATCCTGTGGATCTATGAACAGATGATATGGACAGGGGGGACCTGATCCTAGATCACCACTCTTACTCTGAGATGCTTTGTGAATATGGGCTCAGTTAGTCTTCTTTGAGTTGATTCAGAATCAGACTTGGAGTTGCTCAGATGACAATGCCACACATTCCTAAGGATGTCTGTGGTGTAGTCTTGTGCTCCGTGTAGGGTCAGACCAGCTATTTTTCTCTCTCACTGCAATCCGCAGTGAAGGAGCAACAAAGGGATGGTTAATTCTTATGCTCTAGATGCATTGTTTACTACTTTGAACAACCTCAAAACAACAACATTCCAGACATCATTTTGTCACAGGAAATTTGATTTTCTTGGAAGATGATTTGTCAGGCTGTGTTATGAGTTTCGGCTTGCCACACAGATACAGTATGTTCATCATGATAAAGTCAACAATGACTATAGGACGGTCTAGACACGCTCATCCCAAAGGCCACAGCCTCACCCTTCCCTCTAGCTCAACCAACCAGTCTTGAATGCAAATGCAGATAATCACATGCAAATGTATGAAAAACATCCATGAGGAAAAGCACTTCCCAAGATCTGCCTAGCCGCCTGGGCTAAACTACAGTCAGTTTCCCCAGAGGGACCTCCTCAATCTGTCCTCATCCCATCAGTCAATATCAGCAGTGATGATGTTTCTGCGTAAATGGACACACAGAGTGCGTCCAAATAGCACCCTATTCCCTATATGGTGCACCAAATTTGACCAAAGCCTATGGGTGCACTACATAGTGAATAGGGTGCCATTTGGGACGCAACCATAGGAATATTAATGTTGATTGTTCCTAAATGCTGACAGTGCTGCCGACGGGCAGTCCAGATCCCCTGTGAGTCGAACAGGCTCCTCTCTCACTGGTTCTATATCTTTATATGATTACATTTTCTCATCCTTTTTTGGGCCTTGTGTCTAAATGCCCTGTGGCAATGATTACATCGTATGAGTGTTTGTCATGCCATTAAAACAAGGTTATGGTGTTAGACAGTTAGAAGCTATGCTCAGGTCTCTGTGGGGTACAGACAATAAAAGCAAAGCCAGCTCCAATGATAGCTAGACTGTATCAGGCCCTGTGGCTTACTTGGAAGCTATGTACTGAAATATAATACATGTGGCTGTGTGTGTGGATTTGAAAGCTTGAACAGAGATGAGGGGACCTTCCCTTAGGCTGGAAATGATGACATCCTTGACAATGACAACCGTGTTGAAGGTCGAAAGACCAAAGCGGTGAACTGGATCCAGCAAACACCAGATATAAGATGTTTCAACTTGGGTGGTTTCTTTAAAACAAGGACTACAGGGACTGATGAACCAAGTCACAGTAGATAGTAACTGTAAATTCTCTATCCTTAGGGCTTTTATATTCTGTGCTGAGATGGGATCAGTGAGGATAAGTAGCCCACTCATGAGTGAACCAACCCCACTCTGACTGTGTCCCAATTGGCACCCTAGTCCCTATGGGCCCTGGTAAAAAGTAGTGCACTATATAGGGTGCCATTTGGGAACGCAGTCTCTGTCTGGTTCCATGCCCAGCCTGTCACCTCTCACCACCACTCACCTTTCCCCGGAGAACTCCACTGTAAATGGGAAACGTGAGTCCAGGTTTACACCTACCCACAGGGTTTCATTTCACAGCCTAGCCAGGTGAACAGAGCGGTTTGTGAGGACTGGAGGGGGGAGGCGGAGAGGAGAGGAGGCTGGCACGATGTCAAGCAGGTAGCGAACAGATATATGGAGTGTTGTTGTACCTATGGGAAGATAGACATAGAAAAATGCATGAAACAAACATGAAAACATTCACTTATACAGTACACTGCCAATAAAAACAGCATTACAAATTCCAGCCCTCTGTTTTGAGTCGTCAATCATGGTTCCATCTATTCCCTCACTCCACTTGATGGAAAAAATCTCGTCCTTGATTAGTGGAAATCAATGAAATGACCGTTCAAAGTGTGTACCCAGAATGGTTCTAGTTGCCGTCTTTGTGTGTGCATTGTTGAAAGGGACTGTTGAGAGGAGCAAACCCTAATTTAGATCAGGCTTCTCTGGTTAGCAGATTACAGAACAGTTCATGACTTAATTTGTGTTTACAAGGCTAGTGTGGAATTCCCCTGCTTTTCTTAGCCAGGACCAACCCAAATGAATACATCCCTATGTAACACTTGAATTGATTTGGGAGCTCAGTTCTAGGGTCCACTTGACTTGGTCACACTTAACATTACAGTGTCCTCAAATCCTTATTACTGTATAAAGAAATACAATTATTCAACTATGACCATTTATGGGAACAGGGATCCATAAAGTCTCTATTGTCTTGTAGAAGGATGAAGAATGAGGCATAGCATACGTGAATTTGAGAAACTATATGTTGTCAATGTTACAATTCGTGTGAAAATGCATTACGTAATGCCTTTTCTCTCTAGATGAATGACGAGATGCGTCTGTCCGGTCAGAACGACGGGGGTGTGGTTTCCACCGATACAGCTACTTGAGGAAGCCTACTGCGCCCTCAATGTATTGATGAGCATAATACTGTACATTTGTTGAATAATATGATAGGCTATACTGTTCATTGCTTCGACAACATTTTAATATCCGGGAGTTGTTAAGATCGAACAGTCAGAGTTTTGTTGATTGGGACTCCAGCAAAGTTTTGTATAATTTGAATATCTTAAATGGTTGAAGAAATGATGGAGTAACTGCAATGCTAAACAACCTTCGAACTTCCCGTGGGTTAAAAACTGGTGAGTTGAACTATTGGTAAATTGTGATTATATTGTTTCAGCATAGAAACATTTATCAGGTAAAAATGTTATTTTTGCTTCTGGAAAATGTGTTTTCGGACACCTTGGTTAGGCCTGCTCTTTTAGTTTTTCTCACTGATCGACTCATATTATCCAGAAATTAGTCATCCTCTCAAGTTTGTGGATCAAATGAAGGTGTTCAAATTAAACGTAAAACCTTTCCTGGAAGTTTTTACTCTTTGAGCAACTTCACCGTGGTGTGAGGTCACAAACAGTGCGCGCTTGGTTTATGCACGTGACTGTTTCTGTTGTAAGCTTCACTTGACAGCTGTTTCAGGAGATATCATGGATGGAAGGATTCATTGATTAAAGTTGCCTTACTGTTAAATACGTGGTGAGAAACATAAAATGGTTATATAACGGTGAGAAAATTGAAGATTATTGGGTAGCACTTTTATATTAATTCCGACATGATGGCTATTGTAGGCCTAGTTGTATCTTGTGTTTGAACAGAGAGAGGGCAGAGCATAGGACATAGCGGCCACTGGTGGGTGATCTGGATGCAATTATAGGGGCCAAACCAAGACTATGAATAACGGTGGCTCTTAAAATAGTGTCCAATGAGTCTTGACAGTCTTATTTATTTTTCTGAATGGCATATGGAAAAAACATGATCAGTTAAGATGCCATTACAACTGTACTTAGATAGTTTATGCTCATTAAAAAGATACTTACAAACTGTGCCAAAGGTTAACATTGCATTTCAATGACACTTAAAAGTCCGATACTAGTAACGTACCCTTTATCTCATTAGCAAAACATAGGAGCATGAAGCCAGGTTTAGAAACCAACAAACCATTCAGCCCATTATTCATTAACTTGCTCCAAAACAATGTTGTTAAGTCATTAGGAAAAATATGGGGAACTAAGTCTTCACTGAAGGTGCACCTCCTCCTACTCAACTATAAAACTCTCATTGTGCATGTAACCTTTAAGAGTACAAGACAGGAATAACTAATGACTAATGCATCTACATAACGTTGTGATGTGGTGGGAACAAAGACATTTTTTATAGGTCAGTCAGTTTATCTAAAATGTCAAACAGGTTTGATATGCAAACTCACAAAGATGCTTCATGGAGCTGAATAGCTGGCCATTGTAATAGCTGGCCATTGACCAAATGGCCATTGAGGTGGTGACCTCTTGGACATAGAGTGCAAAGACTGCTGTCAAATGAGCAAAAAAGAGCAAGTTATCATGTGTGACCCTCTGCGGTAAGGGCAATACGGAACAGTGTAATTGAACAGTATGGCCATTGTCCAACCTTATTTCGTTGGACCACATGAAAACCAACCTCTTGAAAGAATGTTGGATGACTTGTGGTTCAAGCTATCCTAGTTGCAGAGAAACTCCTTGCCTTTGGGTCAAGTTTCATCATAATATTTATTTGGTATAGTAGAAGAAAGCGGACATAACACAAAAGAGCCAGAGAGGTCAAATCTTTGCACAACAACAATCATTGCCATAAGTCAGGGGTCGGTAACAGGTGGCCCGTGGGCCAAAACCGACCCGCAACTGATTTTGTTTGGCCCCCCAAAGTTGTATTATTTTTTTTTTTTAGAAGTATTGCGTTCTCTGACACACTAGAAGTTGGAAACTGAACTGTTTACTCACTGGTCCCTTGCTGACAGCTGAGCCCAGTCAGAAAAACGGATCAGCCCAAAGCAAACAAAGAGCCAGTCCAATGTATTGGACACCAATCAAAGTGGAGGATATTGGACTCGTGCAACATTCCAACAGCTATGCTAGACCGACATATGCTTACAATCTTACAACAATAATCAGGTGAACCAACCAACCAACGTCATTAGCCAGACCTGGCCAACACTGGGCCAGCCAGGTATGCTTCCAGATAACCAGATGTAAATGGCCTGTGCTCACGCTCAATTGAAGTCAAACACTGGGTCCAATTGGCTGCAATCAGGAGATAACATCAACCAATTCGCTAAGGCAAATTTGCTTTAGTAAAGTAGAGCTGGCACCAGACTCCTTAGTACAAAATCATTATTCATAAGCACAATTTATTTTCTCAACATCTATCCTTGATAAATCCACATTATTATACACATTATTTCCAAAGAACAATAGCCTCTAAAAAGTCTACCCTCTAATCTAAACGCTGTACCCTATAGTGTGGCTAGCAGCATCCCAAATAATAGACCATGTGTGTGTGCAGATGCAGTTCCGAACTTCCAACAGATGGATAAAGCCAAGGCAGTGGAGTGGTTAGTTACTACCGGCTTGGGTTTCCACGACAGTGCTCTCTTTGTGCCCGTCGGTCGGCAGCATGCCCCAGCCTTCCATCATGTGGCGGTGTGCTGTGTTTGCTCTGCCTACCGCCACTCTCCAGGACTCCAGTGGGCCTTTTGTGTGCTCTGTCGTCTGCCCAAGCCCCACACACTCTCAGCTGCAGCACAACAAAGCCACATTAGGGGGTGGGGGTATTCCAGCCACTTATAAGAGGCTGAAAAGAAAGAGACGGTTTTACGGCCAACATGAGGTGAATTTCCTGCTGAATTTCTTTCTTCATAAATCAGTAAAAGAGAAGAGGGTGGCAAGCAACAAGCATCTTAATTGCCTTGTCATCATATGAAAGTGCACATGTTGTGTGAATGTGAATGGTTAAGTGGATGGCGTATACAGTAAAAGGATAGCAGGTGCCTTTGTCAGCAATATAATTAATGAAGAGAGATGTTGTGGCTGGGAGAGGATGGACAGAACAAACAGAGGTCTGTGAGTAACACAGTTCAGTCTTGAATCAAATATTATTCCCCATCAGTCAATGTAATTAAATTGAATATAGCTGTGAGCAGCAATGAATGGGGTTCACAGAATAAGAGAAAGGACACAAGATCAGTTGGATAACAAATCAAGCACTCTATCATGTAGGAACTATCTTCCTTTATCAGAAATCAGTGAAAGCATTACCATGTTTACAGTGGTGTAAAGTACTTAAGTAAAAATACTGTCAAGTACTACTTAAGTAGTTTTTTTGGGTATCTGTACTTTACTTTACTATTTATATTTTTGACAACTTTTACTTTTACTCCACTACATTCCTAAAGAAAATAATGTACTTTTTACTCCATACATTTTCCCTGACACCCAAAAGTACTCGTTACATTTTGAATGGAAAATTGTCCAATTCACACACTTGTCCAATTCACACACTTATCAAGAGAACATCCCTGCTCATCCCTACCGCCTTTGATCTGACGGACTCACTAAACACAAATGCTTAGTTTGTAAATTATGTCTGAGTGTGCCCTGGCTAAATAAAAAAAACAAGAAAATCGTGCCGTCTGTTTGCCTAATATAAGGAATTTTTAATTATTTATACTTTTACTTTTACTTTTGATACTTAAGTATATTTTTGAAATTACATTTACTTTTGATACTTAAGTATATTTAATCAAATACTTTTAGACTTTTACTCAAGTAGTATTTTACTGGTTGACTTTCACTTTTACTTGAGTCATTTTCTGTTAAGGTATCTTTACTTTTACTCAAGTATGGCAATTGGGTACTTTTTCCATCACTGCAAGTTTATCTCTCAATGTCACAAGTGTGACGCAAGTGAAGTTTAGTCTAGTTCTGTAGGTTGGTTATCTTTGAATGCAGCAGGTAATCATTCTTAAAGCCATTACTTAATGTATTTAGTTTATATACCAATTATGGGGTCTATGATTTGTTAAATATTTTCAGCGTTAGTGTATAGTATATTGCAGTCATCTTTGAATTCTGGGATTTATTTTGTCTAAATCTGTTAGTCTAAATTTTTTAAATCTCAGTTTGTACACTCCACTTTAGCATTCCAAAATACTTCAATACACTCACAGCTGTAATACGCTGACTGCGCAAGTGGCAGAACCTCTGGTTTCAAATTTTCCTGAATACAATATGCACTTTCCACTATGTTCAGACCACATAATAGGGCAACAATATGAGATTATACAGATACTCACAATATTTCACATTGTTAATCTGCATTATTTAAATCTGACAATCATTTGCATGATACAAAGTACTCTTGATCAATAGGTATTGCTCTAGTATACTATGGTGCCACTGGTGCCAATGACATCTATAGTACCATCAACTGGTCTGGTGCAGCCATCTAAGGTTGCAGTTACTTTTTATTCACACAGCTTCTAAGGACATACAGTGAGGGAAAAAAGTATTTGATCCCCTGCTGATTTTGTACGTTTGCCCACTGACAAAGAAATGATCTGTCTATAAGTTTAATGGTAGGTTTATTTGAACAGTGAGAGACAGAATAACAACAAAAAAATCCTGAAAAACGCATGTCAAAAATGTTTTAAATTGATTTGCATTTTAATGAGGGAAATAAGTATTTGACCCCCTCTCAATGAGATATTTCTGGCTCCCAGGTGTCTTTTATACAGGTAACGAGCTGAGATTAGGAGCACACTCTTAAAGGGAGTGCTGCTAATCTCAGTTTGTTACCTGTATAAAAGACACCTGTCCACAGAAGCAATCAATCAATCAGATTCCAAACTCTCCACCATGGCCAAGACCAAAGAGCTCTCCAAGGATGTCAGGGACAAGATTGTAGACCTACACAAGGCTGGAATGGGCTACAAGACCATCGCCAAGCAGCTTGGTGAGAAGGTGACAACAGTTGGTGCAATTATTCGCAAATGGAAGAAACACAAAATAACTGTCAA